AGTTCCTTGGATGGCAGAGTAGCTGTAAGCGAGTACAGCCAAGGACAGTCACCACCATGGCAGTTGCTTTTAGTCTCAGCCCAGCTGTAGGCTGCACCATTTCTTTCAATGGTGCACGGTCCTGTGATCCATACACTCAGGGCTGGAAGTCATGGAAATGCCTTTGCTATCGTCACTATCCGTCTCAGAAGAAATCATTTGGGATTATTTATGCCCTGCGAGATAATGATTCAGCAAAGCAGTTAAGGATGTGGTCATCTGTTGTGCTGAGCCAGTGCCTAAACTAATACTAAAGAAAGCGTTGTAGACAGGAATATGAAAAGCAAGTGGATTGCTAAAATATAGAAAACAAGTCTTACTTACATTAATTTTTCACAGTGTTTTACTACTGAACTGAAGTGTGGCAAGTTAAATGGCACACTAAGATTTCATTTTATTTATGATTTGGATATTTTTTAACTCTTTCCATCTTTACAGGTAGGAGTCACCTACACTCCTCATGAGTTGAGTGTCACTGATTTCAATTTAAGTGCATGAAGGAAACAATATTGCTATGCCATAAAAATGCCAACTTCTGCCGTTACTGCCTAAACAGACAACACTTTCTTCACTCATCACAACGTCATGTACTAAGGAGCTGGCATAGCCATTACAGAGGTTACTGCACTTTTCCTATGTCCATTTTCCCCAGAATCTTCTGTTCCGAGTCCTACTTTATGTGTGGTTTTAGTTTCAATGTTTCACCCTCACTGCAAGTTTGTAACACATATGGGTTTAGGTGCCTTTTAAAGTACCGGTGCCTTTTAAAGTACCCTATGTATGTTACAGTAATGGGGAAAACCCCCTCCCTTTCTCTCAGCTGCTCTTTAGTTCTGTGAACTTACAGTATTTGTCTAGATATGTGTGTTTCATTCAGTTGTAGATCGTTGTGGCTGAATAAACAGGTATCATGAAACCCAAATATACAGCTTTTTGGTTATTTCTTTCCTGTAGCTGAGCTCAGCCTGGTTTCATGAGCATATAATGTGCGTGATCACGGTGTCTGTGAGTAAGTATCTCGTCCTTACCTCCGCAGTCACTCCACAAGCTGTAGGTTGATTTACTTTGTCAGGTACTTGAGTTCTTAGGACGTTTCCCAGCACCAAGTGACTACAGAAGATGCAGGTTGTGCCCTAGTGTTTCAGGGACTGGCAAATTTAACTGTAGTGGGGGCAAGTCATAATAAACACAGTCCTCTGCTCTGCTTCCCATGCTAGTGGAGCTGTTGTTGACTATTTTCGGGGGGGTGGGTATAGCTGAGAATAGATTGAGGTCTCATCTCCCTGCTGAAGAAAAAAGACTTCAACTTAAAACTAGTTTTGGCCTGGTTTCACTCCGCACAATGCATGTGCAAAAGCGCACGCAAGCTTGCTTGTTCTCGCTATTGCTCTTGCCCTCTTTTTTAATCTTTTTTTCTTCCTTTGCTGAACGCTAACAGTCCAGTCCTGAGCGAGAGGATGACACTAAGAAATTGGTGCATATATATAATGACTTGTTTGAAGCAGACTTCAGTGTCAGTCTACAGTGCAGTGGTTATAATCAACTGGAAGTAAAACTATTTAAAGTAGGTTTTGGGGGAAAAACATTTAAGTTATTTTCCCAGACTTATTTTTTTGGTGACATTTTGAGATAATTTCATGAAAGCTCCTCATTTTATATATTACATCAGCTCAACAATTTGATATAACTGTACATAATGAAAGGAAATTGCAGGCTATGAAATTTTCTTCAGACCTTTTAACATTGTTCAAATTTTTTTTCCCCTGCATAGGTTCTTTAATGGCAGAAGAACTGAATATCATGTCAGCAACTGGCTATTAGTTCTTGGCAGAAAGGTTTGCATGGGCATTTGTGACAACCTGGCAATGAAATAATGGTTAGAGTTGGCTGACTTCTACAGAGACAGAAACTTAAATGAGCTCCATCTGAAAGTAATTGCTTTCAAAATACAAAATAATGATGGCAGAGGAAGAGAGGAGTGTGTGTGTCTGTGTGCAGCAAGGATCCATCATTTATCTCTGGACACAGCACTACTGCGAGAGCTGTAGCTGTGAAATTGGTAGCTGTAGCACAAGTCTGGCTCCACAGGCAGAGCTACACAGAGTGGTGTGCTGACTTACTTACAGGCTGTGAAAGCTGCCAGGTCTGGAAGCACTGATGGAAGCCAGATCCGTGTGTCTTTAGCAGGACGGAGCCCGGGCACTGCTACTTGGGACTGAGGTTGAGACACTTCAGTATGGAGCTGGCGTATCTTGACCCATATTTAAGCACACAGTGTGGATGTAAACTACTGTACGGTACCACTACTAAAAAGTGCCAAACTGTAAGCTTTGACTTTCCTAAGTCATGTTGCTAACTTTGCAAGCTTAACTGTACCACAGTTAATGTATTAGTTTAGTTTAATATCCTGGAAATAAACCAGGCTTTTTTTGCCACCATGGTTAGGAAGAAGCTGTTGGTTTGCTACAGGGACTGTTCTTTCTCTGAACATAAGAATGCAAAGCAACTTGCTTCATAAATCCCCCTGCCAGAAGATAGGGAATATGCAACCTCCAGTGGTGACAAGTATAGAAAAGGTGGGAGAATTCTCACAGGCTAATCACAAATCCTATTTTCTATAGGTAAGGATTACAGAAATTGGCTAATTCCTGGGTGGTTGTCACTGCAACCAAACACAAAAATTCTGACTTGTTCAACCAAACCCTTTACTGCACTGAGCTCTTCTTGATGTGCACTTCCCCTCTCCAGCACTGCCATAACTCCCAGTTTAGAAAATCAGTTCCAGGGTGAGGAAATAGTTCAGCATTTCAAACTAGTAATAAGCACTAGTTGCTTCAACTTTGTTTTCTTCCTCCAGGAAATTACAGTCAGTTGCAAAGGAAAGCATCTGTGCCACCGAACACAGGCTCCACGTCTGAATTTGTAAACGCTTGCTCTGACAAGCAAGAGTGGTTATGCTTCTTCTGATGCTGTTGCCTTAGCATGCAAATAAGTTGACCTATACAGGAGCGGAAGGGTCAGCACTGCTGGAACATATGGCTGGTTGCCCCCCACTAGACACACCAATAGTCCCTGCACACACTGGCAAAATTTTAATGACAGTACTCAAACTGTACAACGGAGAAGCAATGGCAATGCTCACTGTACACGGTGTTTCTCTAGCCATTGCCCAAGTGTCAGTTTCATTTTAAAGGTGAAGCTTATAAAAATGCACAATTCTCTCCGAAGATACTGTACACTATTCAGCAGGTTAAAAACTGAAAAAATCTTTCATTTAAAAAGTCATTACGTTATTTGTATACATCAGGGATAGTCTACATAAGCATATTCACCTAGAAAATATGTGCATTATAAACCATTTCCATGCAATGCAACAATTTCTTATTTCAAAGGTGGTATAAAAAGACAACACAGCAGTCCTAACCACTAGAACACTATACGTAAAACAAAACAAACGTGCATCCTTTTATTGAACATGTTAGATGAATAAAATACAATAACAAAGACTCGTAAAGATGTAGATTTTTTTTGTTTCCACCAAGTGACTACAGTACCAAAAGATACAGATAACGTGAACTGTGTGCAGTAATCATTTTAGGCAAAGTGCCTCTTCAATTGCTTGTTTGTTGTGCTAACCCGAGACAAACTGCTGTGTTTAAGATTACTGTGATGTAGTTTCTGCATCTAATAACCCAGTATTCAATCACTTTTTGCAAGCTTAAGAGCACTGCACCTATAAAATAGTGTATCTATTGCATCAAAGTATAAAGTGTGTTGCTTACAGTTTAAAAATCTATAGAAAAAGTTTGTTTTCCATACAAAATGCTGAAATTTTTTCAAGATATACATTTTGAGATGTGAAATTTAACACATTCCCTGTGACAGGGAAAGGAGGCTATAAATGTGAGGCATTATTTAGCTGCAGCAGTGATCGTGCAGCGGTGTGTAGTTTGGGGAACTAACACAGCACACAAGTTTCTGTATTTAATTATGCGACGTCACTGCTTGATCAATGCTAGCAGCACGAAAAAAGCACCGCAGAGAGTGTGTTTTGGTATAACTGAAGATTCATGGGCTGCTTTCTAAGTTGGTGGAGGCCCATTGGTGTATCGCAGCATGGGATAGAAAGAACGGGCGAAGTTGTTTGCCTGGGTGCAGCTGTAGTCTTCCTCAGAAGATGGAATCATGCAAGCCAGAAGTAAAAGCAGTAGAAAGAACAACTGAAGAGGTAAAGCTGCTCGTAATACACGGTAAAAGAAGGAAGGAGATCGAGGAATTGCTTGAATAGGTTGTGGATGGCTTTCACCTCTGAAAAGGAGGGGGGGGAAAAAAAAAAGAGAAAAAGAAAAAAAAAGGCACTTTAGAGTTTGAATTTGGTTTAGAAGTTGTTTTAACTCCCTCTCTAGGGTTCCCACTACCCTTCCAAGATGCAGGGCAGCATATCTACAGGAAAATGCACTGCACATGAAACACTTTAACTATAACTTGAAAGCGTGCAAGACTGCTCAGTGGGAAGCCAGCTGCTGGCTTGGGTTTACTGTCCTTACTACTGAAGAAGAAACATTTCTTTGTAATAGCTTAGATCAGTGGGTTTTTACCCTATTTTCAGATGCAAACTTAAGTTCTCCCAGCCAACAAAGAAACCACTATAAATACATGTTGAAGTATAAAGGAAAACCACTATTCAGACTGATTAGGCTCTTCTTTGCCTTGGCATTACTGAGATCTATCCTTTGAATAGGCCCTAATGTACCGGGGCTGAAGTTCTCCCTTTGTCCTTCATGGTCTGTTTGTAATAAGTGGCTCTAAGCTGCAAGTTTCTTTGTCCAGGTATGATGGAATATTTTCTCAAGAGTAAACACAAGCCAAGGTTGCACATAGGTGCAGAGGTCTAGGAGCAGGAGTGCTAAAGGAAAACCATTCACCAAGGTGCAGCCCAGAGCTGGTAGGTAGGGGAGACACTACTGGTAGGCAGAAATCACCTCCACCTGCATGTCAAGCTATGAGAAACAGCCGCCCAGGTTTCTGCCGGCACTCAGCTCGCCTCTGCCGTTTTCACTATCCTTCAAGAGATCAGGCTAATACAAAATAATACCTTGTGCTGCTGCTGTTTCTGCCATCTGCAGTACTACTTATGGTGATCTGTTGAGAGAAATAGCTTTTAGTATCCAGGTTTCAGAAACTACACGGAATTTCTCTTTCTCAAAAAAGACAGCTGTAGACTTAAAAGTCCTGTTGTAAATTATGTAATAAGGTACATGCAATCTAAAAGGTAAAATGATCACATTTGAGGAACTTTCAGGCTAAATATGTCAAAATATGCTATATGCTGATAGCAAAATATTAGAAAAAAAAAACTTGCCTTCTTCACAGCAGGGCTGGATTTCGCTGCGACTGGATTACAGTCTCCTGAGTCCAAGTCATCTGGAACTAGCAGG